CATGTGTTGCATGAAGATTCAGAAGAGGAGGATGATAATCCGTTTGCCGAAAGGGATCAACATCATCGACATCAGCAACAAGCGATTGGTGCTCTTCTCGGAGGAGATAACCACCGCTGGGAGTCAGGGTTTAAACTCGACCTTCCAGAGTTTTCAGGGAGCTTGAAACCAGAGGAGTTTCTTGACTGGATCAGCATGACAGAGGAGTTGTTAACATTCAAGAGTGTTCCCGATGTGAAACGTGTTTCTCTTGTGGCTACACGGTTCAAGGGCAGAGCATCAGCATGGTGGCAACAGCTCAAGGTTCAGCGTGTTAATTCAGGCAAAGGTCCCATTAACTCGTGGGAAAAGCTGAAGAAACATATGCGTCAATACTTTCTTCCGTACAACTACGCAAGAACAATTTACACTCAGTTCCAGAATTTACGTCAAGGGAATCGATGTGTAGACGAATATGCGTCAGAATTTTTCTCACTCATGGCCTGTAACAATCTGTTTGAGACAACGGAAAATTCTGTTTCTCGTTTCATTGGTGGACTGAAACAACAGATACAAAACAACCTTTTGTTGTTCAATCCGACTTCGGTATCAGAGGCGCATCAGCGAGCAGTGTTGATCGAACAAAACCTTCGAGGTTCTTCTACGTGGACGGCATCAAGTTCTCGTTATCGAGCAGGGACATCAGGAGAAACAAGTCAGGCCACAAAAACAGAGCTTCCTCCTTCGTCTTCTACACCTGACGTTTGTGCATCCAACACAGCACAAAGGCAGACCCGTACAATGACTTTTAAATGTTTTAACTGTGGAGAAGCAGGACATCGCCAAGCTAGCTGTCCTAAGCGCATTTTATTTGGGGAGGACGAAGTTGTTTATGATGAAACTGCAGAGGAACCACAACATACAGAAACAGAGGAGCAAGTTGTAGGCGACATCGGTACAACTTTGGTTATTAGGAGAAATTGCCTCTTACCTCAGGCGATGGAAGAATCATGGCTGCGAACTAATCTATTTCGTACAACTTGTACAATACGAGGCAAGGTGTGTCGTCTTATTGTTGATTCAGGAAGCTGTACAAACATTGTTTCTGAAGAAGCAGTGGCAAAACTGGCCCTCTTTACAGAACCACATCCAGTTCCATATCGTCTTGCTTGGCTTAATACGAAGACAGATTTAAGGATCACCAAAATGTGTCGTGTTCCATTCTCTATTGGCTCCAGCTATAAGGATTTGGTTTGTTGTGATGTTATCCCAATGGATGCGTGTCATGTACTCTTGGGACGTCCGTGGCAGTATGATAGGCGAACAATACACGATGGCTTTTTGAATACTTATGCTTTCAGTTTTGAAGATAAGAGGATTACACTTCTTCCTTCTCAAGAAACGTCACAGCCTGCACAATCTGAGACTCCTAAAGCAACTCCAAGGGAAGTTCTTAAGCCATCACAGCCAGTATTGTTTGTTAACCAAACACAATTTGTAGAAGAATGCAAAATTGCAAATGGTGGTATGGCTCTTATTATTAAACCAATGTCTACGCAATTAATTTGCGATGTTCCACCTGAGTTTAAGGAATTAGTAACAGAGTTTCGCGACGTGTTCCCTGACGACTTACCCGCGGGTCTTCCTCCACTACGTGACATTCAACACTGCATCGATCTCACCTCAAATGCAGCCTTACCAAATAGACCGCATTACCGGATGTCACCACAGGAGCACGACGAGTTGCGTCGACAAGTCGAGGAATTATTAGCTAAAGGCTACCTATGTGAGAGCCTAAGTCCGTGTGCAGTTCCAGCTCTTCTCATTCCCAAAAAAGATGGTTCATGGCGTATGTGTGTGGATAGTCGTGCGATCAATAAGATCACGGTACGATACAGATTTCCTATTCCCCGTCTAGATGATCTACTCGACCAAATCGGTTCTGCAAGAATATTTACAAAACTTGACTTAAAAAGTGGTTACCACCAGATACGTATTCGGCCGGGAGATGAATGGAAGACAGCCTTTAAGACTCGCGAAGGATTATTTGAGTGGCTTCTGATGCCTTTTGGATTGTCAAATGCACCAAGCACATTCATGCGTGTTATGAATCAGGCCTTGCGACCGTTTATAGGACGTTGTGTGGTAGTATACTTTGACGATATTCTCGTTTTCAGTTCATCAATCTCAGATCATTTGGAGCACTTACGTGATGTGCTCACGGTCCTAAGGCGAGAGAGTTATTTGGAGCAGCAAAGAAATGTGCATTTGGTGTGTCTCAAGTTCTTTTTCTGGGTTATGTTGTCTCGCAAGAAGGACTATCGGTGGATCCATCTAAGGTTGAAGCAATTCAATCTTGGCCAACCCCACGAACAGTCACGGAGATTCGTAGCTTTCATGGACTTGCTTCGTTTTATCGACGTTTTGTTAATCATTTCAGCAGCATTATGGCTCCCATTACAGATTGCATTAAGTCTGCGACGTTTATATAAGGCAGATGAGGCATTTCGTGTTATCAAAACTAAGCTAACGACAGCTCCAGTTTTATCTCTTCCTAATTTTTACTTGGCCTTCGCACTTCACTGTGATGCGTCTAAGTCAGGTATTGGGGCTGTTCTCAGTCAAGAAACAAAACCAGTGGCGTTTTTTAGTGAAAATATCGCAGGTTCTCGAGAGCGTTACAGCACTTACGACGTCGAGCTATATGCTGTAGTGCAAGCGGTAAAGCACTGGAGACACTATCTCTTCCATCGTGATTTTGTCTTGTATACCGATCATGACGCACTGAAGCATATGAGCTCTCAAGATAAGGTCACATCTCGACATGCTTCTTGGTTTTCTTATCTCCAACAATTTACTTTTGTGATCAAACACAAAGCTGGCGCTCTTAATAAAGTGGCGGATGCTCTCAGTCGTCGTCACACTTTGTTAGCTTCAATGCATGTCTCGGTGGTGGGGTTTGAGACTCTTCCCGATCTGTACTCTCTTGACCCTTTTTTTAGCAAAATATGGAACGATGTGCAGCTTAACCGAAGCAGCGAGTACATTATTGTTGATGGGTTTTCGTTTCGAGGAAATAAACTTTGCATTCCAGAGAGCAGTTTACGTCTACAAGTGATACGGGAATTTCACAATGAAGGTCATGTGGGCAGGGATCGCACTCTGCAGCTAGTCACAGCATCTTATTTCTGGCCATCATTACGTCGCGACGTTGAACGCTTTATAGTTCGTTGCGGGATATGTCAAGCGTCCAAAGGTCATGCGTCCAACGCTGGATTATATCTTCCATTACCAATCCCTTCTCAGCCATGGACAGATATCAGCATGGACTTTGTTTTAGGACTTCCTCGCACACAACGCGGTTTTGATTCGATCTTTGTTGTCGTGGATCGTTTCTCAAAAATGGTCCATTTCGTGCCTTGTAAGATGCTGTCCAGGTAGCAACATTGTTCTTTCGTGAAATTTATAAGCTGCATGGTCTTCCCGTTTCTATTGTATCAGACAGAGATTCCAGGTTTTTGAGTCACTTTTGGCGGTCGTTATGGCGTTTACTCCGAACAAGTTTAGATATGAGCTCTGCATATCACCCACAAACTGATGGACAAACAGAAGTTACGAATCGAGCATTGGGTGATCTGTTGCGATGTTTGGTTGGTGATAACATTCGTTCTTGGGATTCAGTCTTGTGCCAAGCGGAATTTGCACACAATCATGCAGTAAACCGGAGTACAGGATTTAGTCCTTTCTACGTAATTTATGGAGTTGTGCCAAGAAGCCCGATTGATTTGAACATTGCACCGGACCGTACAAGATCACATGGTCGAGCTTGTGACATGATTGAAGACTTCACTACTATACACCAGCAAGTAAAAGCTAACTTAGAAGCTGCTACTATCAAATACAAAGCTTCCGTTGATTCACGCAGGCGTGATTTGCAATTTCAAGTAGGAGATAAGGTTTGGGCAGTCCTTACTAAAGAACGGTTTCCACCAAATTCTTACAACAAGTTAAAATCCCGTAAGGTTGGACCACTAGAAGTGCTGGAGAAGATTAATAACAACGCGTATCGGCTGCGTCTACCACCTCATATAATACATCGGATGTTTTTAACGTAAAACACTTGGTGGGTTATTTTCCAGCAGACGAGGACGACAATGAAAATTCGAGGGCGAATTTTTTCTCACCAGAGGCGACCTGATGTAGCATCATTACACAGACATCGACTTACACAAGATGAATCATAGTTTCCATTTTTATTTGGGCTTTCGTATTGTTTACGTATTTCCTTTTCTTGTCTTTAAACCGACATTGTCTTCTAGGTTTTTTTAAGTTCTATTTAAGCATGGCTTTCTATGTAAGGAACGGCAGTTTTTGAATTAATAAGAAAAGAGAATTCTTTCTCAACATCTTGAGAGAAATAATTTTCTATCAAGATCCGAGGCAATCTTATTAGGGTTTAGAGAAGCCCTAGTATTCTTGTCTTTCACACTTCTAGCTGCTGCATTATGTGCCCCTCAGAAATCCTGCCCCTCGTGATGGATGTATTTATCGTTATGAGAGTTTTTCTTTTTCGGCTTTTGCTCGGACACGATATCCTTTGTGGAAACTAAAATCTTTGTAGTTCCGTGGGGGAGAATTGCTCTGGTTTTCGCAGTTAAGATTTCGACCTGTTTTGCGAATGATACAATGAGCTTTTCCTGCTCTTCCGATTTTTTGTTAAAATCGGAGAGTATCTTTTCGATGCTCTCGGTGGTAGCGTGCAAGGAGTTTCTACGCGATTGTGCTTCCATGGCGAACAAGGAGTTTCTACGCGATTGTGTGATTAAGTTGGTAAGGAAAAAATTCAATGATTAAATTTGTTTGATGATATAATAATATATGATTTTGATTGAATTTTCAATTTTCCCATAAAGAGAGAGAAGCCGAAGAGACGAAAGGAGAAGGTTTAGCTGGGATATGGAGCTGGATTTGGCGGAGACAGGCCATTGGCGGCTCTCAAACTCCTCCAGTGAGTGGAAGAGATGAAATATATTGTTCTCGAGTGCTTAGCCGAACGAACCTTGGCTGATTGCTGGCTCTCTATGTCTTCTGCCGGTCACGGTTACGACCCTCGCGGTATGCATGTTTCCAGATTCATTTTCTATTTGTATAGATTATAGTGTCATCAGAGTGAGTTGATGATGTTTTATCACATTTTTTGCTGCTCCCTATTCCAGTTTCAGAGTGGATGAGTTTGTTACTACCTTTGGCTGTAGAGAAAGGCACTTGTATAATCAAGGAGCCTCCCGTTGCGGCATTTCAGAAGTTGTGCCCTAGAATCTGTAATCTTTTGAATAACCCTAATTATCTTACTAAAGCTTCTCTCTTACCTGTGGTTGGAAGCTTGTCTCAGGTTTGTGCAGTGCGGCTTATAGTTTTAATTTATGTAGCATTAGACAGTAGACAAGCTATGTTCTGGTCCTAATTGCTAGAGGAATGAGGTGAAAGTAGATTGGTGTTCAATGTCTGCTTTCTTTTATTTTCTTGATGTTAGTTGTATGTTTAATTCACAGAACAAGCTGCAGAATCTGGCTGGGCAGCGTTCTGATGTGCATGAGAATCTGTCTCCCATAGTGAGAGCTTGTGTTGATGCCTTCAAGGATATACAGGTTTGTGATATATTGTTATTAACTCAATCTGATCTTGATTATGTATGTACAACCTCCTTTTTCCTTCTGTATGAGTGTGTATTCGAATGTCAAGTTTCATATTAGGTTGACTAAGTTCAGTGATTTCTCTCATGTTCTTCTTGAGTGATCGTTTGAGTTAATGTTCATGTTTTTGTTGAGTTCTCTTTTGAGTTACATGCTAATGTTCTCGTTGTTCTTGTTCAGGATGGGTGTTTTTACTGGTTTTATTTGTGATGTCAAAATGTCCAGTTCCCCATTAACGTTGGGACATGACCAAGTCCATCTCTTTGTTTGATTCAAGTATTGCTAAAACTCTCTATGGTTTTGACTCAGTTTTTTTTCAAGAACCCTGAAATAAGAAACTAGCATTGGAGGACACAATTAAGGTGTCTCTAAACTAAAGTTTTTAATTACATTTATATACTAAATTAATCAATAAGAGACCCTAATGGATTTGTGGGTTAAAGATGCTCTAAGAATGATACTTTCACATTGAAGGCTTCAAAAATCGCTGGTCCAAATATTCTTGCAGCCTTATTCATTCATAAACACAGAAAGATTTAATTTTAGTTATTTAAATTCAGATCCAAAAAGGGGCAATTTACTCGTAAATCATAAAGGTAAGATATAAATCCTAAAAACAGAGTATCTAACCAAGGCATAAGATTAAGATATAAAAGTAAATAAAACAGAGTATATAACCTAAAGCAATATGGTTCTTTCTTACGTTTTCATAATTTTAGAGAATATTCTTGCTACTGTTGTATGTTCTTTTAAGAGCTTGATGTTTCTCTCTAGATACTGTTGTAAGGTTTACCATCAAGAACCTAACCACAAATTCTATTATTACACCCAATGAACATATTTTGAACAAACGTAATAAGTACGTTTTTCTTTATTACCTATGGAGCTATGTATAAGAGAGTTCCACATTCTCCAGTCATTTATTTTGGAGTATGAGCTTAAACTATAACCACTCCAAAATCAGTAATCTTTAGATTCCTCTGATAACCCAAAGCATAGTCTCTGTTTTCGCATTCCCATGAACAATTCTACCTGAATGCAACCAACTTAGCCTGCAAAAGATCAGTCATGATTAGGGATCTCCCTTTCTTTCTTGGAGATTCTTAATAAATAAAAAACTTATGGTGGTGTCATTTAGGTCGAGATGGAGAGCGAGTTGAACAACAACCTAGTAGCTTGTTTCCTATCAAGAATGATAAAATATTAGGTCTTTTGTATTTTTCAGTCCCTTGTGTTCTCTTCAACTGTATCTGAAAGTTTGAAGTGGTCACATGGATGAGCATCCACTCTTAAGACGAAGAGGAAATAATAAGATGTCAAGATATATAATCAGTAATGGCAACTTAAACTTGAAAAATGAAATGCAGGAGAGGCTGACCTTTTCATTAATCAGAAATGTGTCAACCTTGAATATAACAGTTTAGTTCTAATCACATGAAGATTATAGGGTTTCTTAGGTTGTTGGCTTTAATTCTAATAATTAACAGAAGTCCATAAGTTTATGTTTAATAAAACAGTGTTATGCGGTGAAAAGGACATGTGTCACACTCTGGGCATCCGACATAATTACATGACAACTTCACAGAAGAGATAACTCTCTATTATATATAGAGACTAAGGTAGACCCGTCATACGGACATGTAAACAAATGAACAAAAAATATAAATATATTTAAAATGTTTAAATTTATCCTCAATATAAATTAATATTCATGGCTTTATTGAATCAATTTATCTATTTAATTGACTATATATTTTAAAAATCATAAACTTATTTAGTTATTAATAATTTATAGAATAGTTTTTTTTGCTTTCTATTGTTTGTTTTAGTTTACTATAATAATAGAGTTAGTTTTTAAAATTGCTTGATGAGTTTAGCGAAGTTATAAGTAATAAGTAGTGCGAACTTGATCCATTCAGAATGACAATATATTTAAGTTAGGTAGATTACATAACCTTTTAATAGTAATCATTACTATTTAGAATTATACATGGTTGTTTGAATCTTAAATATATTACTATTATATTTAAAAATAAATCACATAATCTAAGTAACTCATGATTAGAATTGTAAAAATAATAGTTGTTTGATCCAAAATAAGAAGGTGTGGAGATGCTTTATATGAATTATAAACATGAATTCATTAGTTTATAGTAGAAGCATAAATCAGAACTAGTTTTATGTTTTTAATGTGAGATTTAAGTATTGTTTATATAGTCGTTAATGTTTTATAACATGGGAATTTTACTATATGCAATGATTTTTTATGCACTATCAACATTTATCTCTCGTATTTTGTTATGTTTCCATCCAAGTTTTTTTAAATGTATTTTTGACTACCAAATTTTTCATGTACATACGCAAATATGTCGAGTTAGTGTCATTTGTGTTGAAGTTAATGTCACTGAAGGTGACTCAGAAAGGCACCATAGAAACTACAACTTTGATAGACACTAAACTTTAATTTCACTTCATCTGTCACTTCTTTCATTTCATCTGTGTATTCTCATATTTTATGTTCCTCTATTTTCTTTTGTGCCTTGAGCACATATTCACAGTTACGTTACGTAGGCACATGGATTACGTGAGTGATAACACATATCATGGAGATTAAAAAATTTGATCTAATTTTTAATTTTTATCTTCTGTTTAATTTTAACAAAAGAATTCTAAAGATCGTAACTTTGGTCACCGAATGAACAAAAAAACCTTTGGTATTATACCAAAAAAACATTGGTCGTTTAGAAATAAAGTAATCTCTCTCCAAAGTTTTATGTTGTGTGCATATTTATTATTTTAATCTCTCTCTAAGTTTTGGTGTTGTTTTCATATTTATTATGTTAAATCTCTCTTCCATGTTGTATACAAACCTAACTTATTTTTTAAGACGTCCACATGGCGGAAGGCACAAAGCTCATCACCATTGAGAGCCATTCCCTACTGTAAAATCAAGGTCATGGGTTTGTACTTTAATTATCGTCGACTGGAAGTGGATTGATTTCTGGTCATGTTACATACTGATTACTGCCGTAGTATTGAAAATGAAGGTTGATTGACAGTAGCAATGCTTTTGGACTGTTATCATAAAATTGAAAGCAATAAATTGAGTAAACAACATTGTATCTTGGGTCCAATGCCAGATAAAAACATTTAACACTTTGCTCCAATGGCTAATAGTGACCATGGTCCTTTCTACTATATTAACGGTCAAGATCTCCCAGTCATCGTTCATCTATTTAAACAAAAAGATTTTGTCTTTTGATTAAAACAAAATTTCAGTGATGCAAACAAAAAAAATATTTCGGTATTTCGTTTAATCTCTTTATCTTGTGTCTCCTAGTCTGGGTTCTTATAAATCATAGAGAGAAAAAGATAAATTTTGATTTTTTTCCAAGAACATATATCTCTCTGACTCTCTTTATTCTTAACTAAATGAATTCCTCTGCAATTGCATGTGATCTGCGATGGTGGGTCAATCTCGGACGATGGATGTGTTAGTCTAATCAAATTGTAAACAATGCTGAGTTTTAAACGGCACAGTAATAAAGAATATAGAGATAAATCCTATCGCAAGAAATAGATGATTTGGATTTTTTTTTTTTGGATTTACATTTGATATAGTTTTGTTATCCCATTTGTATAATAAATGTATAAGTCCAACAAAATTTCAGCCCCAATTTAAATTATGTCACATGTCAAATTTTCTTTCTTCTAATTAGTAAGCTAGCACTCTCAAAAGAGAGAAAAGCCTAATTTATATCCCCAATATATTAATTGAGAAACATTTGAAAAATTGTAACTTCAATTTTGTAATAATTAAAAAAGAGTTCATGTTTATGTGTCACTCAATTATGTAGTCAATTACATTCAATTGAAAAATAAGTAAGTCCACATTCGATTTTTATATGTCGCTAGATATATTTGTTGGTCAAACTATATGATATGATATTTATGATAGAAGCATTTTTATGATGGTCTTGCTAGATATAATTACTATTTTATTTTCTTTCCTTAAATAAAAGCTACGGAATTTCCATAAATGACAAATATATATATGACAATTAATGTTTCTAATAATAAATATTTGATAACAATTTGTATCTCCTCCATCATTTTCTTTAATTTTATATTATTAAAATAAATCAAACATTTAAATTAGCTATAAAATTAAACTTTAGATTGTTTTTGTATATGTTATATTTTGAAATTTAAAAAACCAAGAATAAATGACGAAAACTATTAAAATATTATGTTAAAAATTAATGATCAATAGTTTAACATTTTTATTATAAAAAGATACACATGATTTTAAAACCATATGAGTAAAAAGTATCATTCAATAATAAAAAATATATATATATAGATTAAACTATATACCATATAAGATTACATACTTATTTTAATTTCAAAAATTTCAATGAATTTTCAAGAACATTTATAAATTATAAACGTATTAAATTTTTCACATTGAAAATTTTTGTTATCAATGATTAAAATATATTAGTTCTTTTTTTTTAATTTTCTATTTTTTAAAGATATTAACACAATCGATAATATGGTTATTTTTGGTATATACTATGCAAACCGAATGTATGTGATTTTATAAAAACCGTAAGATTTGGATATGGTTTGATTTATAATCGATTAAACTGAAACATGTAAATATGTATATCTATTTGTTACATGAGTTGAACTATAATTATGATTTGTAAATCACTTGAATCACTTGAAATATAATTAACTAACAATTTAATGCAACTGAGGCTTCTTATTTTCTTTGTCTTTTTTTTTTTATTTTTTTTTATTTTTTTAATAAAACTAAATTGAATTAAAAATTATAAATTTGATGGGCAACAATTAGTTTAAATTCTTTACAATTTTTTTTAATCTTTAAACAAACAGAGTTGTGTTCAATCGAAGAAATATTAATTTGATGAACACTAAATATGGAAGAATATAAAAACTTTTCTTTCATGCTTCTGTTTTTTTTTTTTCAAAATTTAGAGATTTGATATTAATTCTAGATTTGATCATTTTATTAGATCATAGAAGCCTTTTTTGTTTTTTATTCTTTTAGTTAAATATATAATATTTTTTTTAATAAATGATTTTTTGACAATATGACTCTAAATATGATCATATTATTTATTTTTATAATATATATAATATGATTTCAAACTAAATAATGATGTATTTGGGTATAAAATTGA